TCAGCTTAGACAGTCAAGGTCTTTCCTCAGTTGCTCATGACGGACAACAGTTTGAATGAAAGACCTAGTACAGCTATGTTTTTACCCTCTTCTGGTTTCCGGACTGTATAGAAGCTGCTCTCAAGCTTTTATTAATACTGGGAATACAAATAATAATACCTGAGCATCTTTCTTCACTAGTTTTAAATAGTAATGTTTTGGAATATTTTGTACAGACATTCAAAATTTACACTACTTGCACTAGGTTATAGATCTTTTAATTTGCTTACTTCACATTTACTTAATTTTTGTGTAAACATCTGTCTGTTAACATAGTTGGTAACATTATTTTATCATTTACAAATGTATTTCCAGAAACATTGGGACGCTGTGCAAAAATGGAAATAAAAATAGAATGCATAGAATTGTGTGCAAATAACAGGCTGGGTAGTCTTTAGCCTCGAGAAAACAACGTCAATCATTTCTGAAAAGAATTTTAAATTTTGATTAACTGGACCACAGGACACTTTTCCACTTCGCCTCAGTCCATTGTAAGTGAGCTCGGGCCCAGAGAAGGTGGCAGTGTTTCTGGATCCTGTTTATTTATGGTTTCTTCTTTGCACGGCAGAGTTTTTTTGCATCTGTGGATGCAGCGACGAACTATTTTCACAGACAGTGGTTTTCAGAAGTGTTTCTGAGCCCATGCAGTGATTTCCACTAGAGAATCATGTCTGTTTTTAATGCAGTGCCGCCTGAGGGCCCAAAGATCACAACCAGCAAATACTGGTTTTTGGCCTTTTCCCTTACATAAAGAGATTTCTCCAGATTCTCTGAATCTTTTAATGATATTATGTACTGTAGATGATGAAAAGCAAAAGTTCTTTGCTGTTTTATGTTGAGTAACGTTATTCTTGAATTGTTGCACTATTTGCTCATACAGTCTTTCACAGAGTGGTGAACCCCTCCTCATCTTTACTTCTGAAAGACTCCGCCTCTCTGAGATGCTCTTTTATACCCAATCATGTTACTGACCTGGTGTTTTTTTTCGGCGTTACAGACTTTACCAGTCTTTTGTTGCCCCTGTCCCAACTTTTTTTGAAACACGTTACTGGCATCAAATTCAAAATGGGCATATATTTTTTGAAAAACAATAAAATTTCAGTAACATTTGATATGCTGTTTTTGTACTATTATCAATTAAATATAGGTATAAATAATCTACACATCATTGCATTCTGTCTTTATTTACATTTTGCACAGCATCCCAACATTTTTGGAACCAGGGTTTTGTTTTTAAATGATCTACTTGTTACTGTGTCTGACTTAATGTGAGCTACTGCCAAGGCAAATCCCATACAGGTGATATCTTACTTGGTCAATAAGCCAATTCTGATTCTGTTTCAGATCATTTCACTGTCAGGCTTCTGCCTCTCTGTCCAATAGGATCACTTCTTCATCAGTCACCCCGAGGACACTTCTTCATGCCGCTTAGGTGGGTAAAATGTCATCAGTCTTTCACTGTAGCCTGGCTGGTTTCTCTCCAGTGAAGCGTTTCTTTCCCAGTTATCGTGGCCTATATAGCTCAGGTCTCTGCTCAGTTGGCCGTGACTGTCACTGGTTCGATTGAATTATTTTCATTACGGTTGCCTGTTTCTGGCCTTTTCTAGGGTTCAGAACACAAAATGGAAAAGCACTTGTTTTCTTTTCTGTTGTTCTGTAGCACGCATGCTATATTTCAAGTTGCAGACTTTTATATTAAATTTAAACAAAGTCATTTTCAGATTCAGTGACTCAGCAACAGTAATGAATTCATCTCTGTATACAGGATGGCCTAAATACCTGCAGCACTCACCCTGCCAATGCAAATAAATGGCAAAGCTCAATCAAGGGAACTGCCTGCTTTCAGAAATCCACCAATCTAATGCTCTCTACTGCAGCCTCTACAGTGATGCCTTTTGACTTGCTCATTTGCAGATCCCCTTACAAAGATAGCATGGTCACATTTGCAGTAATTGTCAACTGGTCCCTGTTAACCTTTATTCCTTATTAACAACTGTTCATGCATTTGAATGAAGAATTTAGTTGGGAGAAGCTCGTTTTGACTGAAGGTTTTGTCTTCAGTGCTTTTTTACACTGGCTGTGTTTACATGCAAAGATTTTTGCCAATCTGATTGAATACATTCTGAATATTGATTAAGACTGAGGTGTTTATTTGCTCACTCTACTCAACAATCTGATGGAAAATCTCTTTTTATTACTCTGTTTAGAGTAGACATTACCATGACAACCAGCATCATGTGAGTCCAGTCAGAGTGAGATGAGCAGCAGTGACCAGTGCTTGTGTTTGTAGTTACTTTAAAATGTCAGACTCAGGAAAACGTGTTTCACATGTACTTATCAAAGAAGGCCGAGAGGAAGACGTCAAAACATAAACTTCGTCTCCTCTGCAGACCAGTTTCTGCTCCCGCCATGTTGAACGCTATAAACTTTCACTATAACGCGCATGCGCAGAACATACTTAAACTTTCTGATAGGGAATGTAATCAGATACAGCTGTTAACATGGTTATTATTCTTCTATTTAACTATTTACAGGATTACTCACCTCGTTCAGTCGGATAGAAACTGTATTCTGAATGGCCTCAATCGGACTAGTCTATTCCGACTGAGGTGTTTACATGGACAAATTCTATTCCGATTGAGATATTGGTCAGATTATTAACAGATTATCAGGCTGCATGTAACGTGGCTAGTGTTTTTCGATGCAAAGCACATCACAGACCTACTTGTAACTTTGTCATTTTTAGCTGGCTGAAGATTCTCCACAAGGGGAAGCCTGTAAGCTCTCATGTAGCTTTAGTGTGCATCACTGAAAGGGAGAAAACCAGCATTTCTGTTTGCTGCACAAATTGCATGTATATAAAATAAAAAGCCTTAAATCTTTCATAAACATGTGATAAGTACACTGCTGCAGTACCACAGCTATGATTTACCGTTATGGGAAACCTGATGGGAAATTTGATGAGAGTAATGATACTTCAGTTAAGTTGTATAGATGACCGCAGGTGAATAAACCTCCAGTAGCGTCATGGATTCACTTTAATGACAAAGCGTGTTTTGTTTTTGTGGGAAATCTAGTTTTGCCCGGAAAGAAATGTAGCTTGAGCTACACTGAGCATCTGATATTGTACGCTATTCATTGCATTCAGACAATCATCATCACCTCTTAAAATAAGTCACATCGTCAAATCGGAACTACCAGTACTTTGCGTTCGGGTGGTCATGGGCAAACTGCACATTTTAACATATGAGCAATGTGTGTGTGCACTGGAATGGACCTAAACCAGTTTGATCTGGTATCACAAAATGTGTGTGAACATTGAACATGCCACTTGAATAGATGACATTGTCAGCTGTTCGAATGCAATAAAACTGTACGAGAACCATCTGACCATACAATAAGATGGCCACAACTAGTGGAATCTTGTCAGTTACGCTGCCTTGAGCCCTTCAGAACAAGAGTAGGCAGTTCTTGGCCATACTGAGTGACAAAACCTACCAGACTAGGCCTGTCTTAGTGCAGGTGTGGTCCTGCAGTCCTCACTTGTATGTATGGAATGGTGCATTCAGACAATCATCATCACCTCTTCAAGTCACGTCTTCAAATCGGAACTGCCATTACTTTGCGTTCAGGTGGGGAGCAATGCATGTATGTAATGGGATGAGCCTAAACCAGTTTGATCTGGTACCACAGAGTGTATTTGAACATGGACAAAAGCTGTTCAAATGTGGTAATGCTGAGAAATTCACAGGTGTATGAGGACCATCCGAACATACCACAAGATGGCCACTATTGGAATTGTGTCAGTTACGCTGCCTTGAGCCCTTCAGAACAAGAGCAGTCAGTTCTTGGCCGTATTGAGCGATAAAACCCACCAGACTAGGCGTGTCTTGTGGTCCTACAGTCCTCATTTGTGTGTAAACTTTGAGGCTGTAGGGTTTCCCATTTCTTATTTTGCTGTTTAAAGGGGTGCACGCTCTATCACCCTTAATGCAACCTCAATAGAACCCAAATTTCCTTAAAATGCAGGCTAAGATCAATCAGAGTGAATGGGTTTTGATTACAGCCATCAATACAGCATGGAAGAACATATTTCAGTGTGAGTTACAATGTATATCATGTATATAAAACATATTTTACCAGCTACACTATATGCATAGCCTGTACCCAAATATAGGACCTGTGGGGTCTCTCGTCCTCTACATTCGCATGTTGTTGACATCACCAGGATGCAGACGTGGAGGGTTTAGGATGCCTTCAGGGACAGGCCTACACTCTTAAAAAAGATGGTTCTTCCAGGGTTCTTTTGTAAAGAACCATGAACACCATTAGATGTTCTTTTGCATGGTGAAACGGTTCTTCAGATTGATGAAAAATGTGTTGTTTATGAAAATGGTTCAATATAGTACAAAAAGAGTTCTGCTATTGTTTATCATGTCAAGCTTGTAACAATAGAAGAACGCTTTCTGGTGCTATATAGAACCATTATCAAAAAGGTTCTATATAGAACCATACACAACACATTCTCCATCAATCTGAAGAACAATTTCACCATGCAAAGAACTCTTTAAGCATGCAAATGGTTCTTTGAGTCTTCATGGTTCTATGTAGCACCAAAAAGAGTTCTTTTATTATTATGATGTCAAGGTTGTAACAATAGAAGAACACTTTTTGGTGCTATATAGAGCCATTTTATAACACTTTCTCCATCAATCTGAAGAACCATTTCAGCATAAAAAGAACCATTTAAGCATGCAAATAGTTCTTTTAGTGTTCATTGTTCTGTACAGAACTACTGTCTTTGAACTTTGAACTTTTTTAGGATTACAGTTTGTCACAATGACCAGAAGTCTGGCTTGAGAGACTAGGTAGGAAAATACTACATGTAATTTATTCATCTGTTGTGGTGCATCACAGTAAACAGGTGCTGTTTGTTGTGTATTGCAGTAAAGTGCAGGTACCTGGGTCTATCTGGCTGTTGCGTCCCCTAATCATGTAGCTGAACTCCTGGCAGCTGGCGCTCTGGCTGTATCCTCCGGAGCGAAAGCACAGCTCCTCCACCAGCACCAGCGCCTTCTTGCACATGTCTTCATCCCAGTCCCCCGACATCCTCCAATCCGCATCGCACTCCCAAGACCCCCTCCGAAATCTCGGCCCACGACGGCACGGCCCTCACCGCCCTCACCAGTCGGACGGAGCCTGAGCGGAGCGGGTGGGTCTGTCCACCCTTTTTTTTCCCCCCTTTCTTTTTTTTTTTAACTTCCCTCAGGGACCCAATCAGAGGAGAGGCCTCGTTTATGTTTTTGAGGAACTGGGCCAATAGGGAGTTGAGGGTCTCTCTAGTGGACCACTTACTGATTTAATTAGACCGTTTAATGGCTTCCACACCCAAAGATTTGTAAGCCACATCCATCCTCCTGGGGTCCGCGGCAAGGATGAAGCAGAGGAGACGAAAAGAAAGGGGATCAAACGTGTGATTGCAAACCGTGTTCTTTCACATACTTTTGTTTTTCATGAAAGACGGTTTTGAGGCCCCACAGTCCTTGTCATGGTGAAACGCCAAATCACTCAGATGTCTGGAATATCCTTCCGCTTGTTATCGGCGGGGTTATATTTAGCCGTGTAGCTCAGAAAAGCATAGCAGGGATATTTTCTGGGACTTTGAAAAAGCATTCAAAGAGTTTGTTTTTAAGCTTGGCCCTCAAAAACCAAAGTCAGAGCAGAGTTGAATTCTGGGTTATGTAGTTCCTGCGGGACACCGTGGGCTGCAGAGGCTCTTCTGGGTTTTTTCCATTCAATCTTTAATGTTGTTTGTGATTCACCGTCAGATCGGAGGGAATGTTTGACACTGCCTGAGAGAGAGGGAAACAAAAAGAGAGAAAGAATGCGACGCATAAGGTTACAGTGACAAAGGCACAAATAATAAGCATGTAGATGTGTTGAGCATCCGTCTGTGATCTTTCTGTCCTGATAGTTTGAGACGGCGATGAGGAATGAAGGCGATGTTGTCGTTCGCTGCTGAAGCTGCCGAGAGGTGGTGTGTATAATTTGTCTGGGTGTCAGCGCGGGACTTCGGCTGGATCTAAAACATCTCTTTAGCATTCCCTCTTTGTTCTGAGCTCATTCTGTCTGAGAAAACCAGGTCAACGCCCCACCTACCTTCTCCGCTCTTCTCTTCCACTTTGTGTCTCCTCTCCCTCATTCACTCACTCTCTACTCAGCCCTCCCCGTCTCCTCCTTTCGCTCTCCGTGTCGCTTCAAACTGTGGGACTAGATCTGGCTTAAAGGAATACTCCAGCTTTCTTCAACCTAACCTATATCGACTGATGTACAGTTCCAGGAAAAACCTTTACTTGATTTAAATTAAAAATTTTCTTTATTCATGTTTCTTTCACGAAAGGTTCTTCGGGAAATGTTCTTCAATGCCATCACTCCAAAGAACGCTACTAGGCACCTTAATGTTCAAGAGTATAGATTAACTCACAGATGATGTCACATTGCAAAGCTACACTATGTAAATTTGGGGGATTTGGAGACCTCTCTGGTGGAACTGTGTAACTGCACGCAATGCATGGAAGAACATTTGTAGCGGAGGTTGTGCTTCGGACTCCTTCCTCGAGCGGATAAATCTGATGATTAAAAGAGAATTCACAAAGAACTCAGTCGAAACTTGGTGACGGACGTGTCTTCTGAGGATGTGAGCGAGTTTTCTACCATTCTCATCATATTTTCATCAGTATAATTTTGATTTTGCATTTGAGACCTAAATATCGAGCTGGACCTTCTTTTTGATTCTGTGCGTGCGATGTTAACATGTAAAGATGTAGGACATGGCCTGAAAAACTCCTGCCAAATCCAACACGATGCCTCTGGCTTTCAAATCATTGATTGTGTTTACATGCACTTATTAATCCGATAACTGCAGAAAATCTGATTTTGTCAGTAATCCTATCAATGCGTTTACATGCACTTGACTAATCAGATAATGTGAAACTCTGGGTCTACATGAGTCAGACAGTAATCAGATTTCTGCTTTGCAACCAGCAAGTAAACTCACAGAAGACGTGATGTAAACAACGCAAAACTCAAACTTCATGTTGCAGCTTTTTTTAAAAAAAACATTGCGCCACTTTACCTGAAAAGATGAACATACATCACCTAGAAGATGAAGAATATTTAAATCCTTCATTTTGTCAAGCATGTAGTCTCTAAAAGTGTTTTGCTGTGTCTCGCGGCAACGCTGCTCACTTATTTTCGGTACCGCAGTCTGTTTTCACACATGTGCAGATGGAGAAATCCGAAAGAAATCAGAGTAAGAGTTTACATGCACTGAGAAATCTGATTACTGAGCTAAAATCAAGCTCTCTATATCAGATTTCTTAATCGGATTTCTAGAACTTCTAGCCGACAAGTCAGGAACCCAGACTTTGATTGGTCAACAAGTCAGGAGTACAGCCTCTAATTGGTCAAGAAGTCAGGAACACAGCCTCTGATTGGTCAACATGTCAAGAATACAGCCTTTGATTGGTCGACAAGTCAGAAAAACAGCCTCTGATCTGATTGGTCAACAAGTCAAAAACACATCCTCTGATTGGTCAAGAAGTCACGAACACAGCCTCGGATTGGTCAACAAGGCAGGAACACAGCCTTTGACTGGTCGACAAGTCAAGAGCACAGCCTCTGATTGGTTGACAAACTCAACCCAAGGCATTGGTGGACGGCTTACAGCCATGCTAACAATACCAATGACTCTTTTCAATACAGAGAAACGGCTAAATTATCAAGAAGACGTTCAGTGTTGGATTTGTTATTTTGGATTATTTTACAAAGTGTCTAAAAAGGCAGTGTAATTTAAGCCTGAATTACAAAGCTTTTGAAAGGGATACGATCGACCCGGAGCCCCCATTGAAATGGGACAACACTACCCTTTCTGGGAAAGACAAAGTAAGTCTCTAGCATGCAGCATTGGAGATTTATTCTTTTATGTACAACATCCTTTGGTGTCATATGTGACATTGTCGGCCTGTAAGGGTTAAGTACCGCGATACACTATTTGTTTCATAGCAACCAGTTCCTGCAGCAGCTCACGCACTCCACATTTTAGCTTCTTTATACTGATTCAGTGATGCTACTTCCTTCATTTTTATCAAAAGAAAATCTTTCATACACTGTTAAAAATGAGAGGTCAGCTCAACTCAGAATGATACAGTCACTGATTACATGGCTTTTCTGGAGTTGACTCAACTTGAGGACACCAGAGTTCATCCAGCTCAAACTTCTCAGTTGAGTCAAAAATTCTCTTCATTTTTTAGTTCTGTATCTCAGTTTGGTAAATAAAATGAATTTGTTTTTATACTCATCTTCCCCTCTAGCCAAGACTTTTTCCATCACACAATCCTGCTGGACATCTTTCCTCTTGGGTTCACACTAATGGATGGCTGTGGCATCGCTGGGGCTCAAACTCACAACCTCCTGTTGGGCTGATGGCTTAGTCCACTGCATCACTCAGGAACACAGGAAGCAGCTCAGATTTTGTGTCTACAAATGTTTAATACACTGGAGAAAATGTGTCGTTTTAACTTTAAAGTAAGGCATCGTCTCATGTGGTGCAGCTGTCTAATGATTCATCCCAACATCAGGAGGTTGTGAGTTTGAATCCCAGCAATACTACAGCTGTCAATATCCAGAAGCCTAAGAGGAAAATGTCAGATTGGACTGTGTGATAGAAGGAGCGCCAGCTAGTGGGGAAATAGAGTAAAACTCACATTCTGTTTTGTTTATTGAACTGAGATGCAGACCTAGAAACAGTAGCTGGGAGACTTTTTGACTCAACTAAGAAGTTTGAGTGGTGTGAACTCTTGTGTCCTCAGGTTGAATCAACCCAAGCCATGTAATCAGTTACTATATCATTTAAGTTAAGCAGACTTCTCTTCTTTTACAGTGTAGTGCAGCTTTAAAAAGAGTCTAACCATTGACTCAAATGGCACACATACAGCCTTTTTTTCACTAATCATATTTATTTTTGATGAATATTTATTTATGTATTTCAGTTAGAAAGCTTGTCTGGTTGAAGCATCATAGAACCATCTCTAATTAATTGTTTTGCATCAGCTTTAAGGACTTTTCTAGCAACTATTACTTCTAGCCCCTCCCTACCTGTGGGGTGAGTTGTAACATTTGATCTCACTCTGCTTCCAGCTGAATTGTTCATAAATGGAAAGTGCTGGAGACAAACAATAAAAGATGATATATTTGACATTTTAAACATTAACATAGAAGCAAACGACTATTTTTTATGTAAAGACAAGGTGGAGTAACTGCGTCCTGAGCAGAGAATGAAGTCACAACGCCTGTAAACTGACCTTCTCTGTTTTTTGTTGTCATAGCCGGTCCGGCTGTGCGTGCATGTTAGTCCTGCCCTGTGAACATGCCGGCCCGCCCTACCTACATTTTGTTTTGCCCTCCCCAGTGACCGCCCACACAGTGTGCGTGCATTATTTAAGGTGGAATGGGAAAATTCAAACAAGAAGCTGGTGAAAAAGAAGCTGTATTTAGAGTTGAAATGCCTGAAAACGGACGTGGGGAACATTATCTCATTTTTGCTGTTTCACATAATCAGTAGGTCAGTATTGTTTTGTCTTGTTTGCGAATGTTTGTGACAGTAACTGGTCAGCTTCACAGCAGCAACTATAGAGACAGTTTGCTAACCAACTACTGAGCTAACGTTAGCTACATTACTTGCTGTTATATCATGGTATTTGTGTGTAAGGTTTGCGAAGGGTTTTAGGGCCACAAAGATCTAAAAGGCGTGTTGGCTTCGATAATGTGAGTTCACAAATTAAGGGGGCGGAGCTTCTGAGGGAGCACTGAAGGGAGGGGTGTGTTTGTATCAATAGTCGTTCTCCAGAATGGTACAGCGCTCCTTAAAGTTTTCATTTGTAGCACAGATATGAAGGTTGCTTTATATAAAGCTAATTAGCTGACTGATTCTAATGCACCGATAGATCGTTACACTCAGGCTGTTTGCTCTCCAACCAGTAGGATCGTTTCTGACTGAGATGTGTTGCCTGATCAGTCACTCTGAGGGCGCTTCTTCATGCTGGTTGTGTGTGTAAAATATCATCCGTCTTCTATTGTACTCGGGATGGTTTCTCTCTTTCTCTCCACTGGAGCGCTTCCCCTCCCCCCACCCACTTATCGATCAATCAATCAATCAATCAAAGCCGTATGTACAGCTAGAAGTCACTGATGACACGATCAGACTGAAGACTCTCTCTTTCTTTCTGTCCTGTTCTTCTTGTTCTCTGTCTCTCATCCCCCCCTACTCTCTTTCTGCCTCTCTTGCTACCTCTATTCCTTCTTCTCTCTCTCACTCTCTCTCTCACTCCCTCTCTCTCTCCCTCTCTCTCTCTCTCTCTCTCTCTCTCTGAAAGCTGCTTAATCAGCGTGTCAGATCGGTGGCCTATCTATCGTTCTGAATCACGCTGTGAAAGAAACTCGGACCGATACAGGTCCATTTATCTGTCCATCTCAGAGGTTTGGTCCATTGTAAAAATGAGTCTGAGATTAGCGTATTAAAAAAGCTTCCCTCCACCCACACACTGCACACATCAGTAAATCAGTCCGGGGGTCCGACTTTAAAACGCTGTGTATCTCAATCTGAAAGATGGCCTTCTGGCACCAAACTACAGAACTACTGCCCAGAAATACCACAGAGAGAGAGAGAGAGAGAGAGAGAGAGAGAGAGAGAGAGAGAGAGAGAGAGAGGAGAGAGAAAGAGAGAGGCACAGAGAGCGAGAGGGAGAGAGAAAGAAAAGAAAGACAGACAGAAAAGAGAGAGAGAAAGAAAAAA